ACCTTGAAGGTGTAGGTTTTGCTGGCTTGCCTTCCTTCTCATCCTGCTCTCGTTTCTTGGCTTTGCGTTCGGCCCACCACATGGTCATCGACTGGCTTCGCTTTTCGCTCTTAACGCGTGGCTTCCTTCTCGAACCTGAGGCGGGCGCCGACTCGTCGACATAGTTGTTGGTGTACTGACTTAGAGGTGCAGTGAGCATGTACGCGTCTGGCGTACTAGACTCACTCGGGTGCACCAGCGGTACCTCTTGAGGCGGTGCAGAATTTTGCGACGTGCCTTGGAAAACCGTCTCAGCAGAGTTCGGTACCATCAAGGGTGTACTTTCTGCAAAAGGCTGGGTTTCAATGGTAAACTGACCTTGGCCTTCACTCATTGAGTTGAGTGCAGGTGGTGGTGCACTAGGGCCATGAGCCGACGGTACAGGCGTGCCTGCATCGCTTGTCTTCTTGCGTGGGCCTTTCTTCACGCCGTAGTCGCTGCGTCGAGCGGAATTCTTGCTACCAGCCGGACGCCCACGCTTGGGGTTAACCTCCGTATATTCATCAACATCCACAGCCGATGACTCTTCGTCTCCGGAACTTCCGATGATAGATTCTTCTCGCATTTCTTGAATACGCTGGTGGAGCAGATTGCTGGCTGTTGCCCTTGCACGTTTCACAGGCCTTGATTCTGGTTCTGGAGTCTCGGATGCAGGTTGGGCAAACCTGCTGACGCCCTTCTTACGCGCGCCACCCCATCCATTGTGCTTCTTCGGGGTAGTAGCACCTGTGGCAACCTCAGTGCCATCAAATTTGCGGGGAGCCTTTCGTTGTCGCTTGGAAGGGCGGCCGTCGTTGTCGTCCTCGTATTCCTCTTCGCTTGGGGCTGCTGATTCTAACATGTCACGGGTTCGGCGTGTTCGGAGCTCCCTACGGCCACCCTTCTCTGCACCTGGTCGTTGAGCCCAGGGGTCCTGACATCCCAATGGTTTTTTGGGATCATAAGTGTAGCCATACAAATCCGCCTCTTTCATGTCTTCAAAGACCTCAGGTGCCAATGGAATTCGCCCGCCATTGCAAGCTTTCTTGGCCGGGTGCATGTGGGGTGCGGTCTGGGGCTGTTAGTTAAGAACAAGTCGAATTTACAGGTAACACCCACCCTTGCATCCAACATGAGATATTCATCTTGCCAGGCTTTGAGAATATGTTGTGCGTTTTCGGTTAGTGCATAGAGATTCTCTGTACTTCTTTGAGAGGCAGGGAACTTGGTCAGGGCGGCAATGGCAGCCTGCACATCGGCCATTGGCTTGAAACGCTTTTGCAAAAGAAAGTCGGCCCTGTCCTCACAATCGGCCTCGACTGGAGACGGCGCGTCGTAGATGAATGGATCGGGAAGGTCAGAGTCTGAGAGAACGTCCTCTTCGGGGTCGAGCAACTTGGGAACAGCGGATTCTGCCGGCGTCGATGCAGAATCTCTCGGTGTCTGCGATGCTGACTGTGGTAACAAGGCAATCCTGGGAACACCGAGTCTGTTAGACGTCTTTGTTGTTGATTCAGCTTTGGAGTCAGGTGCCTGTCCCGACATGTGTGCGCTTGCATGAATGGAGTCGTCCATGTCGGGCGGTTGAGAGCCGTGTGGCGTTCCTTGGGATTTTTGTGAAACGTCCATACCATCGTAATCAGGCTCGCTTTCGTCATCTTCAATTGCTTCTTCATTGTCATCGTCTGAGCTGTATTCTGACGCGCTACCACCCAAGCGTGTTCGCGTCTTGGCATTGCTGATCGGCGTGCTCTGGTTGGACAGAGCATCATCTCCATCTGTGAAGGGGAAGATGGCAGTACCATTGCGAGCTCTTGAAGAAGACGATGGAGTCGCTTTTCCAAAGCCTCCTCTGCCGCGTCCGCCTCTGCCTCGTCCACGGCCGCCTCGACCGCGTCCACCGCGCGAGCCCCGACCACCGCGACCGCGGCCTCTTGGCGCAGGCTGAGGCGCCACTGGCATGTCGTCTTCGCTTTCTGAGGCACTCTCTTCTTCAGATTCAGTTGCATCTTCCTCTGGAGTAGGGGAGCCCTCAGTAAAGGAACCGACGATAATTTTCCGCTCTTTTGGGAGTTTGCCGTGATGCTTCTTGAGGCTGTTGAAAAACTCGGGCGACAGGCCAAACACCATAAACAGGGGATGCTCGTACGAGGCGTAGATGTCGGATGCAGCCTCGAGCGAATTACCTGAAATGTTTGAGGCCGAACGAGTCGTCTTCCTCGTCATGGTGGGACTGAGTTTAGTAGGACTGCTGTTTGGTGCAACGCCCTCTGGAGCATCTGATTTTGATGGGGCTGGTTTTGCTCCTCGACCACGGGTCCGGGTAGGCGTGTCGTCTTGCTGCGAATTCCTGCGCTGTGAGGAGCGCGCAGGCGCATTCTTGGAGAGGGGCATTGGGGCAAGCCAGCGACACAGGAGCAACAATTTGCGTCGGGTTGAGATTATGGCGCATGTGTCGACGCAATGCTTCCATGGAGGGCCCCAGGGAGGCGTAGCGCGCGAATCGTAAGCCTGCTAAGGAGACGCAAAACTGCAGGCCGGCCAGGCGAACAAAACCTAATGCCGCAGCAACGAGGTCGCGCAAACCGGCGCAAGCGGCAGATAGAGGGTATCAAGGAAAGAAAATGCCAAATGGAATAGTACGCGATACGGCGTGTGATGATCTTTGTCTCGGGGTCGTGGCTGCTACAGCAAAAGCGAACCATGATGCGCTTGGCAGATGGTCGCCCGACCAATGACGGGCCTGACGCTAAATTGACCAGCATGTACCTGTCAGATGGTCCAGGCAATCCGCCGACGTCTCTATGTACGGCCGCCGTGTGTGCATACTCATTATATACTCACGCACACTATCTCCGCCTGCACCCAGAAGCTGTTCCGCTTTCTTTTGCCATTATTCTCTGGTGTTTTTTCTTTTCTTTTCTTTTTCTCTCTTGAGCCACCATGCCCCCCAAGACGGCTGACGAAGAGCTCGCCGAACTGGAGAAGCTGGCCGAGGCACCCGCACCCCCGCCTAATAAGCATGCCAGAGGGACTCGTGCGCCTCGCCAGAAGTTCGAGGTCGAGGACGATGCTCTCAAGGATCTCGACGAGCTCGAGCAATTGGGAAAGGCTCCGCAGTCTGCCGTGCCTCGCCAGATCAGCCGCCCCAACACCCCCAAAGTAGCGTCATCGTCCACCTCCAGCAACCGCCGGGCACCAGGCGTTGCGACACCCTCATCTACCGGCTCAGCACGCACAAGCGAAGACAACAGGCCGTCAGCTCCAAGGAAGTCTGGAGAGAGCACCCGCTCCTACCACCAGAGCTTTGTGCCGAGCAAAGAGGAACCTGCCAAAGCACAAGCGTCCGAGCCAAAAGAGGAACGCTCGTCTGGAGGAGGGTCATGGTGGGGAGGCGGATGGGGAGGGCTTGTGTCGACTGCCACTGCAGCAGCAGAGACGGCGCGGAAGCAAGCCGAGGCGGCCTACCAAGAGATCCAGAAGAACCAAGAGGCTCAGCGATGGGCGGAGCAAGTGCGAGGGAACGTTGGCGCCCTTCGCGGCATTGGTATGAATGCAGCCACCAAGTCGCATTATTACCATACTGACAGACTACAGGCGGAGAGCTTGGCAAGCGTGCAGTACCCACCTTCACAAACCTCTTGAACACACTCGCACCGCCAATCTCTCAGCATGAACGGCTACAGATTCACATTACACACGACCTCATCGGCTACCCCTCCCTCGACCCACTCATCTACCAAACCTTCTCTGGGGTCATGTCACAAGTAGAAGGCGGCGACCTCATGGTCGTCCAGCGCGGCTCCGAGTCAACGCAGCGGGGTTCATTAGACGGGTACCGGGGTGGTGGCGGAAGCTGGAACGACGGCCCATGGTGGCGCCACGCGGAGAAGCGCGACTTGAGTGTAGTCAAAGGGCTCGTTGAAGGCACCAAGCTTGCCCGAGTGAGCGCTGAATCCTATGCCAACGAGTTTTTCAACGCAAGAGGAGGCATAGAAGCAGCCGCAAAGCAAGCGACGGAGGTGCTGAGCGAGACGAACCCTGTGAGAAGCAGTGACATATTTATTGCAATCCAGGCCATCAGTTACCCGCAACAAGAGGGTCTGTTTGCAACCTCATCTGCGGGTCAGAAGGGGAAAGCAGAAGATGAAGATGACGACGACGATTCAGACGACTCGGATGATGACGAAGACGAGGACGAGGACGAAGAGCAGGTGACATTCGCAATCTACCTGTATGACCCCATACACAGCATTAGCTTCAAGGGCCTTTCACAATCGATTCCGGCCAAGTGGGTAGAGTGGCTGGACGCGCCTGCCAATACCGAGGCCGAGGGCGAGGAAGGCCAAGTACCGCAAGAAATTGCAGAAATCATTGAGAGCGGAGGAGTGGATCCACGAGAGTGGGTTAGTGAGTGGATGGAGGAGACCATCAACCTCAGTGTGGGCATTGTAGCGCAGCGGTATGTTGCACGCCGGATGGGAGTTGGTGAAGGCGGTCTTGGTAGAGGAATGAAGAGAGAGGCGGTTGTGGACGCTGGAGGGGGTGAAGCTGCACGAGCTGGAATCATTTGAGGAGCTTTCTAGTTGGCAAAGTTCTATTTTATTTCTTGGGTCAACGGCACGGCTCGGGCTAAAACTACAGTACAGCTCAGACGAGATGAGCAAAGCATTTCATATGCTAACAAGATGATTTTCTGGCCCCTCGTGCACCCTGCCTCAATGCGCTCCTGTATGGTGAGTGTGGGTGGGTAGAAGTCAGAGATGTCTCTCGATGGAAGCGCATTACTAGATGCTCAATCCTCGGCATTCGTAGACCTCGCTTTGCTTGGTTCTGCGTTCTGCTACAACGTCTAAAGCGAGCCGAGAGAGGCTCGGAGTATGCCAGGCCTGCAGACGTAGATTAACCTGGTTATGTCGTGCCCTAGGAAGGTGGTTGACATTTCCGAAAACTTTTCAACCAGACTTCTTCTTGTCTACGCCTTCCTTCTTGTCTTTCTTGCCTCCTTTAAGCATCTCCAAATGTCCGGCCTTTTGGGCCAGGAGTTTCTCGGTTTGCCCGACCAGACCAGCGCTGCTCTTGTGCTTGATCTTGTTCTGTGAGATGATGGAGGCCTTCTTGGGCTTGATGACGCGGGCGCCGTGCTGGATACGCTGGGAGGGCCTGGAGTGAAAAGAAAATATGGTCAGTATCAGATGGAGCAGTCGGGATGAGGCAGACGGGATTGCGGCGACGTGCGCAAGGTTCAGGCACAGCCCGCGGGAAACAATGGCATGAGCGGGAGATTTGAACTTACTTTTTAGGAGCCGCGGCCTTGGTCTTCTTGACTGCGCCTTGAGCCATTGCGGAGGTCGTTCCTGGGAGCGTGGGGCGAAGATGGGAACGGAGATTCGGACACAAGCAATGCTGTGCGATTGGGCTTGGAGAAAATCAACCTCGGACAAGCGTGCGCCGAGTATTGATCACGGGACGAGGTGAGCCCGCTGCGGAATGTTCCACTGTGGTATTTGTGGAGCCACGAGCAAAGACGGCTACTCTGGCTAATTCTCGGCTTGCCCTCTCCGACGTTTTTTTCTCGAGATACTTGGCGTGCGTCGACAGACTAGCCCAAACAGGCATGGCGCTTTGTGGGGAGAAATGCACATTTAGCCTTTTCACCCCAACGCGGGGAGCCGCCCAACGCCCCAAGAACCCGTTTTCCAAGCCTCCCACTCTCTGGCCACACTGTAATTCTCCGGAAAAAGAGGGTCACCTGCACTTTGTCGTTGATTTCGCCGAACAAGTTGCCCAAGAGAACGCCCGGAATAATTCTCCCTCTACTCGGTTGTGACAGCGCCCACACCTGAATGTCGACATCAACCGCACATCAGCACTCAGTCGTAACTTCAGACCATGATGCACTCTACTAGTTCACACACATGGCCAAGGTCGCTTCGTCTGCTCTTCTGGAAGAATTCCAGCTCAAAGAGGATTGGATCATGTATGTCGCGTCAATTTAGCCTTACATTACAGCCGGTCGGGCTAGGAAACCCGCTGTTCCTGGATCTGCATCGAAGGATGCTCTATTACTCTAGCAGAGAATTGGAGCGCCATTTGCCACATGCACAGTGACTAGTCGTTAAAGGTATAGATTGGTGGAGATTGGTGAGATTGAGGGCAGTGGGGTAGACGTGCAAATCACCAGACTATGATCTGGGGAAGCATTTAAAAGCAGGGTATCTTCCACGTCTTTAAGGCTTTGTTCAGGACGTCTGCTCAAATTCCTGTCCAAGCACCATGGAGCGCCTCTCCCGCACTGTACTTGGCGCTTTGTCGCTGTCAGTTGTCTTTGCTGGCTCTGCCTCCGCCATAGAGCCTTTCCGCAAACCAACCATCTCTACTTCCAACGGCAATGGCACCGCTCTTCTTGCATCTCGCGGTTCTCCAGTAACCATTCATGCCGATGCTGCAGACTGGCCTGGTGTTCTGCGTGCGGCGCATGACCTCGCCATCGACTTCGGACGCGTTACTGGTACCAACGGTACCCTGAAGACTTCTGGTACAGCGACCGCAAACGCTTCCATGATCTTCAATGTCACAGGCATTAGCGAAGATTGGAGTGTTAGCGGCAGCAAAGCAGCCAACTCCTCCTCTACAGGCACCATCATTGTTGGTACCATTGGCAACTCAAGTCTAATTGATAGCTTGATCGCCAGTGGCCAGCTCGACGTCAGTGGAATTCAAGGCCAGTGGGAGGCGTATGTAAGCGCTGTTGTGCAGAACGCTGGTAACACGACTGGAGAAGCGCTCGTCATTGCTGGTATGTGCACTGAAACAGCTGACCACTCTGGATGCTAATCCCTGACAGGTAGCGATCGACGCGGTGCCATCTACGGCATTTACGATGTCTCTGAGCAAATTGGTGTATCTCCATGGCATTGGTTTGCCGACGTGCCGGCCCAGAAGCACGACTCTATCTACCTCCTCAAGACTACCAAGGTCCAGAAAAGCCCTTCTGTCAAGTACCGCGGTTTCTTCATCAACGATGAGGCGCCCGCTTTAACCGGCTGGGTCAACGAACGCTACCCCATGTCTCCATACAACTCTGCCTTTGGGGCACAATTCTACTCTCATGTCTTTGAGTTGCTGCTCAGGTCAAAGGCTAACTACCTTTGGCCGGCTATGTGGAACGGCATGTTCAACGTAGACGACGCACGCAACCAGCCTCTGGCTGACGAGTACGGTATCGTAATGGGAACATCACACACTGAGCCAATGGTCCGCGCTACCCAGGAATGGAGCAAGGTGGCCAAGGGCTCTGAGTCTGGTTGGTCCTGGGCCACAAACAACGCGACTCTTTACGACTTCTTTATGGAGGGTGCCCAGCGTGCTGCTCCCTATGAGAATGTTGTTACAGTCGGTATGCGAGGATACCACGATACAGCCATGTCTGCAGATGTGCAGACTGGAGTACTCGAGGCTGTTGTTCAAGCACAGCAGGAGATTTTGACCAAAGTTTATGGTAATGCGTCTGAAGTTCCCCAGATGTGGTGCTTGTACAAGGAAGTTCAGGACTACTTCGAGGCGGGTATGGAAGTTCCCGACTGGGTTACACTCCTCTGGACCGAAGACAACTGGCAAAACATCCGTCGTCTTCCTGTCGGCGACGAGAAGAAGCGATCTGGCGGTGCCGGTGTTTACTATCACTTCGATTACGTCGGTGACTCGCGAAACTACAAGTGGCAGGACACGATTCAGCTCCAGAAGACCTACGACCAGATGAGACTGGCCAAGGATCGTGACGCTGACCGCATTTGGATTGTCAACGTTGGAGACATCAAGCCCGCGGAAATCGCAATCAGCCACTGGTTCGACATTGCCTACGACATCGACGCTTATGATGAGACTTCTGTCCCTGAATGGCTTACTGGTTTTGCGGCCCGAAACTTTGGTTCCGAGCACGCTCAGACCATCTCAGACATCCTTGACGAATACGGTGCGCTTTCCAACATGCGCAAGTTCGAATGGGTTGAGCCATCTTCCTACAGTGTTCTCAACTATGAAGAGGCTGATCAAATCCTTGCTCGCTGGGAGGATATCGCCGAAAAGGCCAATGCAATCAACGATGCTCTTCCCGCTGAGCAGAGGCCCGCTTTCTACCAGATTGTCCTCAACCGTGTGCTCGCTGGTGGCAACCACGTTGCAATCCAGATTGCTGGAGCCAGGAATATCATCTACGCACAACAGGGCCGCAACAGCGCCAACGTCTGGATGCAGCGCGTAATTGATGGCATGATGAAGGACCACAACCTCACCAAGCAATACCACACCATGTTGAACGGAAAGTGGAACCATATGATGGACCAGACCCACTTGGGATACCAAGGATACTGGTAAGACTGCGCTTTTTCCATCGAGAACCTACCTTGAACGATACTGACTATTCGATAGGCAACAGCCAATGCGCCAGTCCACCCCTGACCTTCGCTGGGTACAGGTATGGGAGCGCTCGCTAGCAGGCGACATGGCTGTCCACGTGCAGGGATCCAACGCCAGTATCCCTGGTGATGACATGTACCACAGCAACGGCGGATCTTCTTTGACCCTGCCGGACATTACACCCTTCACTCCCAAGCGCTGGATCGAAATCTCGCACCGTGGAACAGAGGAGTACTCATGGAATATCAGTGCCGATCCTTTTGTGACGCTTTCCCAAGCAAAGGGAACCATGAAGCCCAACGATCCGGACGTCCGCGTCTACGTGGATGTAGACTGGACCAAGGTAAAGGACGGATTCGGTGCGCAGAGCAGTCTCAACTTCAGTTCTTCCACCAACGCTGGTACCGCGGGAGGTAGTCCCAAGGTCACCTTCATGGTGAACAAGACCTCCATTCCATCCGACTTCACCGATGGATTCGTCGAGTCCGCTGGCCAACTTGCATTCGAGGCCGAGCACTACACGCGCTCGACCCCCGGCTCCTCAAACCACAGCTACATGGTGCTTCCAAAATACGGCCGCACTCTCTCCGCCGTCAAGCTAGCCGACAACCTCGCCGAGGGTCTGGATGCCACCAGCGCACCCAGCCTTGAATACGACTTTGTCACTTTTACTAAGCTCCCCAAGGAGAAGGGCATCAACCTCACCCTCATCCTCACCCCAACCCACAACATCAACCCCAAGAAGCCGCTCGCATACATTGCGCAAATCGACGATAAGCCACAGGTCCGTCGCCAGTACGTTATCGACCAGAAGCAGCCCAACTTCCCTGTCAACTGGGGTACTGCCGTCGCCGACAGCGCGTGGTACAACACCACCAACCACGGTGCGCTCGAGCCTGGCAAGCACACGCTCAAGCTATGGCTTGTCGAGGCCAACGTTGTGCTGCAGAAAGTTGTCCTCGATCTCGGAGGCGTCATGAAGAGCCACAATGGCCCGCCTGAGAGCTACCGTGTTGGCGGTGGTGCTGCTGGTAATTCTACTATTATGCACAAGTAACATAATTTCTTTAGAAAACGCAGTCTTTGTTAGAAGACTGAACGAAGTAATGTAATTTCAAGTTTCTTATACCTAGAATGCGCTCATGTTGCCATTGTGATGTTGAGATTTTCTACAATATGGACTTTATCAGTCGTTGCGATAATTCTGGCCCGATTCTTTTTTTTCTTCACTGCTGACATGAGCGCGAGATGGGGGGGGAGGAAAGTTCATGTAATTAATCAGCTGAGGTGACTGACTCATTATAGTTTGTGAAGAAGAAGGAGGGATAAACAAAGATACATTTGCGTGGACTTTTGCCCACACCCAAAAACGGGGAGCAAAATAGTAGAGGGAAAAAAAAAAGAACGCCGATGGCCATACCAGTCGGGTTCTGGACTTTGATAAGGAAAAATAGAAAAAAGAAAAGAAAAGAAAAAACTCCGCGCGGTGCCTCTATCAACAAATGTCTCAACATGAAAGAACAAAAAAAAGTTATACCTCCCCGCTGATAGCACAACCCGTCAGTCATAGCTCATCTCGATTGCAGAGGTTGACCTCGGCCCGTCTCGCCAGCACCAAACCACCTTTGTGCCGGCTTACTCCCCTCCCCCACACACCGCCCCCGAACCCATGTCTGTTGGCAGCTCCCGCCCCAAGTCCAATAGGACTTGAACCCAACAATTAACCTGCTTGCTTGCCTGATCTGGATAGCTTTCTGGCTGGCTAGACTGTCCCCGAAGCGCCAGCAGCGCTGCCGCCTGCATCGCCTCCCTTTCCCGCCTTCCTGCGCATGCTCTTGCTGCGATGCGTGTAGTAGTTGCTGGGCTCCTTCATTTGCTCCTTGTCCAGCTGTTCTTGCGAAGGCTGCAATTTGCCGTCTTGAGCTCGCTCGCGCACTTTGCTGACTTTGGAACCCATCGCGCTGTGTGATGGTGTGTTTGTGCGGGGTGTGGGAGGTGTGGGCACTGGAGATAAGGGTATGATAGGGTTGTGTGGAAGAGGTGCTTGGTTTTCTTGTTGCTGATGTTGCTGTTGCTGCTGCTGCTCGTTAGAGAGGATTATAACACTACAGTCTGTCGTTAGTAAAAAAATATACGACGGATGTAGCCGGAATAGTCGAGAGCGAGTGTGTAAAAGGGAGCGCAATGGTGTCGCGTGCCATATTTGTATGCATTCTTGACATTGGTCGGGGCCATGTGACTTACGGAGGAGCAGGATGTGGTTCGGGTTGGGGTCTGGGCTTGTTTGGCGGGCGGGAAAATGGTTGTTTGTTGGATCGGCTTCTAAGGTTATAGCGTGATGTCTGTCGCTGCCTGTAGTGTGTGGGAAACAAGAAGTCAGAATCGCGTCAGGCGGAAGAGAGGGAAAGTCAATAGGGCGTGGGTTGGGCAAGGGTCTACTTACGGCCAGGATGACGTAGCAGGACGAGCCCGAAGACCCTGTTCAGCAGGGGCCGGTACCTGAATTTGGGGTCTAGGCTGCACTGCTCGTTTATTACCACTTCGGGCAAGAATGATGATACTAATTGCACCAAGTCAGTATGACGGGATTATCTTTCAAGCAGCTAAAATTGTGTACATCTGCAGATATTGGGGCAAATGATTGGCTGGTACATACGGTGGTGCGGCAGGTTCCGGGTCTGGCTGCGGTGGCGCTCTCTGACAGTCATTGACCTGGAGACTTGAATTCGACGGACTCAAATTTGTGCTGGAATGTCGAGACATGGCGGATGAGGTGTGAATGTGGTATAGCGATTTGTAGGCCAAGTCATAGATTTCAAACAGTAGGGAACAAGTTTCAGCCACGGACAGGGCGTGGGAAACTATCAAGGGATGCGAATGGGCGAGGGAAGACTGTAGTTCAAAGGATGCCACGACGGGCGCTGAAGACCGGGCGATATCCACGTTGGCCATTGTTGTTGATGATCCATGAGGCATTCCGTCTCAAGTCTTATATACGCCATGAGGCCTCTCATCTCAGCACACGCTTGTGCAATTCCTTAGTGCAGTTCTGCCTGTTGACCTTCACGAGTCACTGCCTTCGCAGTAGCATCATGATCTCCTACTTCGGCCCCATGATCCTTTCCAAATCCAGGTCCACGAGTAGGCGGAGGCCGTTTCCATGATCAAAGATGCGCTAAGGCCGTGGGTGAACGCTCGGCCAGAACGCGGTAGTCTTGTGTGAATGGGCTATCTTTGGGGCGGCCCTTGTCCGTAGCGAGTGGGATGGGTGGAGTCCATTGGAGGGACGGGAGTCTAGTCAGTGGGGTGCCTGAAGAGGCTCAAGTTAAGCTTTGGTGCATGTTTCTCGTCATTGCCCGGCCTGGTGTTTAGCTGCGAGGCCCCCCCTCGGGCATAGTGAGTGAGATGAGGACAGGTACGTTAGGCGAGCCATTTTGCGCAGACACGTGTGAGCCATCCTGGTTGCTTCCAAACAAGTCGTGTGGTAGGCGATGCTGCTGCTGCTGCTGCTGCTGTACCGTGGCTGTGCGAGGGCATCAGACGGCTTCATCTTTGGTGTGCGACTGGCCGCATGCAAATGTCCTTAGCTGGACGCCTTGTAGGGCCGAGCATCGAGGCTTACGATAGGTTGCCACCCTAATGGTCGTGGATGAACAAAAAAGGCCAACACTCATCTGGATGCAGAACGATACTGCGAAATGGGTTGGGGTTGGAGTGTTTGCATTAGTCTGGGACGGCAGCGTGGCACAGCTGGTGTTTGCCTGTGCCGACTATGTTGTGGCTGCCTTGGTACCTAGGCCCGCCGCCCCGCTTCCACTCCTCCACCACCACTCCACTCCACCGCCCTCGCTTCACGCGGCTCGTACCTGTGCCTGTCCCTCTCCCAACGCCCTTTGCCGTATCCCAAGTCTTGTCGTCACCATCACCACCACCTTCATCATCATCATCATCATCATCTTCATCATGGCCACCACCACCAGCAACAACAACAACAAGAGTAGCAACAGCTCGCCTTTGCCGCCCATGCTCTTCTCATCACGCGCGCACGAGTCAGCACTTTGGCCCCCCAATCACCATGCCGTTGGCCATACTACTTGCGATTGGTAAACCGCCATGGCCAATCGTATCCTCTACCATTTCCTCGGGCCTCAACCGACGTCCAGGTTGCCCAGTCATCGCAATCTTATCTCAGCTATAAAAATAATGATTCACGTGGAGCTGCGATGCTGCTTCCAGGATTAAATCCGTATCCCAATCATGTCTGCCTTGCCCTAAGCTATTCGCTTGCCGGGGCCTAATTATGACGCCACCAAGCCTTCCATAACGGCTTGCATCCCCATCCTTCCAATTGCACTACGGGCCATGGCCCTCGCTATGCCGTCATACTGGAAATATCAGTAGCTTCTAGCCCAAGCACCCTTTGCGACCTCTTCTCTCCGCTCGGCACTGTTGTAGGCGCGCCGCCAAGTTCTCGTCCCGTCGGTCATCGGTCGACTCTTCAATCTCACGCAAGATTACACCGACTTTTTTCATGCTTCAAAATATCTATAGTAGCCCATCTTGCTTGGGCCGATTACGTATGATTACCAATGGCCCCCCCCAAACACATAAGATGGAATGATAGCGGCTAGCAGAGCCTTTTTCCACCAGCGGTCACATATCAGGACGAACACTCAGAATGTCAGAATCGCGTCATGTTCGCTCTACCGGGCTCCGTCATCGCTTCAAGTGTGCCTCGTATATAAGCCGGGACATGTTTTGAAAACAAAACTCACGCGATGGAGTTGGGGTCGGAAAAATCGGACTCAGAAAGAGAACGCGCACAGATGGCCCATTGCCCGGCCTGACCCCACCAGTCCCTGCCTCTCTCCTGAGATGGTTCCGTTAGCTGTTTACTGGACCTCGAATGCGTAGCAACCTCTTGCAGATAATATGGAAATCGTCACAAACGATACGCGTCGAGACGTGACCACAGCTATAAAATTGGGTGCCCGTTGAATCGCGGGGGGCGTTGACAGGGGCTAGCTTCGCTAATCTGGCCAACCGATCTCGACTCAATGTTTCAGGGACGATCTGCGTCATTGATCGGTGCTAAGCCAACGCGAGAGATGAACGCGTCGGGAGAACACAGGATATCAACCTGCATCTTTTTCTGAACAGGCTTCAATTGTTGACCGGCGTTCTGAGGCCAGGTACCTGCGCATGCGCTGTCTTGCTCCTCTCAGACCATTCAATTCTCCACTGTTGTTTCCGACCCACAGGGCATACTTGACCTACCTGTGCTACGTATCACCTCGACCTTTGATACATTCTGCGAAGGGCGCCCTTACAATGCCTCCAAAGCGTAAATCCAACGGCATACCACACAATGCCATATCTGCGAACAAATACACTGACGCATCCGGCAACGCAACCAACAAGCGTTCGCGCATAGCCAAACCTCTTGATAAAACATTGATAAACAGCACGCCACTGCCAGATGGGACGGCAAGAAACTCTGAAAATAGCGCACCTGGAGATGCTATCCAGAACGGAGAAGGTGATTTTGACCACTCGAGGCCAGAAGAACGAGCAGGCATCGTCCACCGCAGATATTATCCAGCAGAAATGAGCAACGAGCGATGCGCCATGTACAACGCTAACGAGATTCCACGGCCAATTGCAATCTTGGAGAAAACTTTGAAAGATACGAAGCAGAGGAGGGATACGATACAAAGCGGAAACGAAGGTGGACACGGCGATGCAGTTATGCATTGGTTCAAGCGCGACTTGCGCGTACGAGACAACACAGGCCTCTCGAAAGCTGCAGCGCTCGCAAAGAGTAAAGGAATTGGCCTGGTTGCTGTCTGGATAATGAGTCCACAGGACTGGGAAGCACATCTTGTCAGCCCACCAAAATGTGATTTTGAGCTTCGTTCGGTGCAGCTGCTCAAGCAGGAATTAGATGAGCTTGACATACCCCTGTATATTGAGACGGCGGACGAGAGGAAGAACATAAAAAAGCGATTGGTCGAATTGGCACTTGAGTGGAACGTAAAGAATGTCTTCTGCAACCTTGAATACGAGCCCGACGAGCTGCGCCGAGAAGAGCGGCTGGTACATATGATGTTGGAGAAAGGTATCAACATGGATCCACAACACGATGACTGCGTCGTACCACCCGGAAGCCTTAAGACGGGTACCGGTAAACAATATGCAGTATACACACCCTGGTACCGCGCCTGGGTTGCATACCTCCATGCACATCCTCATCTTCTCAACGAACGCTCCATGCCAGAGAAGAATCCTGCCGGTTTCCGCGAAAATTTTATCAAGCTGTTCGATTCCAGAGTCCCTGATTTACCAGAATGCAAGTCTCTTACAGCTGAAGAGAAGGAGCGGTTCCACCATCTATGGCCTGCTGGCGAGTCAGCTGCTATCGACCGATTGGAACGTTTCCTCATCGAGAAAGTCACCAAGTACAAGGACACGCGTAACTTCCCTGCTTTGAACAATACTGGCCGAATCAGTGTACATCATGCAGCTGGAACACTAGCCGCTCGAACGAGTGTGCGTATGGCGAGGGACATTAACAGCGTGAAAAAGCTCGATGGGGGCAAGGAGGGCATAAAAGGCTGGATTGGAGAAGTAGCTTGGCGTGACTTTTACAGACATGTTCTAGTTCACTGGCCCTATGTATGGTATGAGTTTCTACTTCCTCTTCATCACTCAATAACTAACTTTCGCGCAGCATGAACAAACCCTTCAAGTACGAGTACACAAACATCGAATGGGAATACAATGATGCCCACTTTGAGGCCTGGACACAAGGTCGTACAGGTTATCCCATCGTTGATGCCGCAATGCGCTGTCTCAAACACACGGGCTACATGCACAACCGACTTCGTATGATAACAGCATCATTCCTAGCCAAACATCTCTTGTTAGACTGGCGTCTTGGTGAACAATACTTCATCACGCACCTCATTGACGGTGACTTCGCCTCAAACAACGGCGGCTGGGGCTTCAGTGCTTCAACAGGTGTGGATCCTCAACCCTACTTCCGCATCTTCAATCCTTGGACACAGTCTGAGAAGTTTGACGAGCAAGGTGAATTCATTAGGCTATGGGTGAAGGAGCTAGAAGGTGTGCAAGGAGCCGCAATACACAATCCCTACCAGGCAAAGGGGGAGGCGGCCAAGATTGCAAAGAAAAATAGGTATCCCGAACCAATTGTGGAGCACAAATTTGCGCGAGAGAGGTGTCTGGCGAGGTACAAGGCTGGTATTGGGAGGGAGACTGCGTAAGGGAGGGTTCCCTTCTTAAATATCGGTCTTTGTATATTTTTCAAACAAGAGGCTTTTTCCATCACTGGCGCATGCCATTTTCATGTGACATCTGCATATTTGTAGAGTAGACATGTAATGAACGTGAATTGCTCTGCTATGCTTAGAGAGGCTGCTATATTTAGCTAGTCATGCCAAGGGTCTAGCACACTAACTGTATTTGAGTTTAGCCTGAAGCCTCCCTCCATTGCAAGAACTCGACGTCACATTTCACACTATTAGTATACCGCGCTTGTTCTCTGCAAAGTTCCCAGGCAAATGCAAGGATCTCAGTACAATGTAAGATTTTTCCGAACTACCTGCATTAGCTCAGTGTCCTTGTACTGCTGTTTGTGTTCGATCTTGTATCATCTGATCTAAGCTTTATTTAGGCTTCAGCATCTGGAGATTTCCGCTCATCGAACCGTAACGATAGTCGTCGAGAGTAGTACTTGAAGAGAGTGCTTTCATAGCTATTGGAAGAATTGCTGTATCTTTCTCAAAACTTCGCAATGACTCAAACGGGGAAATGCGACACGTGTCGCCAGCGGAAAGTCAAGGTACAAAACTCTCTTATATACCTATATCTGGAAGATTCCGGGCATAGAAAACGATGAAATTGATTACATATAGACATTTACTAATACATATGTAGTGCGATGAAGAGAAGCCTAAATGCGGTGCATGCAAGAAGAAAGATCGTCCCTGCGCCTACTCATATGGAAGACCATCAGCTTTCATTGTACAAGACCCGAACCAGTTAACAAAACACGGCAAATCAAGGGTTCCATCTGTGGTTCATAGTTTCAGCTCTTCTGAGGATGACGCGATCTCATCTTCTTCAGCTTCTTCAGAATTGCGCATCACCACTGAAAGAAGAGTGGGTGATGGGCAAGGCTTCTTTCAGACCTTAGCACCAACCTCCAAGTCCAAGCCTAGACCGTCGAAAAAGAAGGCCAACATGCAGCAACGTGTACTGGAAGCATACCTCCAGCATCTAGAAAAAGAGTCTACTATAGTCCCGTATCAACCATCGTCTCCGGAAACCGCACTGATCAGCCGCTACATCGATATGCTTGGGCCAGATATCTCTAGAAAACAGCCGCTTGCCATTCTGGGGACTTGGATCCAGACCATACCGTTACGTATTGGTCATAATCGGTTGCTCGACCTTGCTGTAGAGTTTTTATTGAATAGCTATGCAGCGTACCGAGATGGAATGCACTCGAAACGAAGGCTCGCCAAAGCCACAAAAGCCAAAGCTCTGAGGGAATTGCAGCTTGTTGTTCTAAATGCTCGTACTGAGCCTACGTATGATCTTTTACTAGCGACCAAGATGCACTATGCGGCTGAGGTAAGGGACTACGACTGTTATATCTAAATGCAATCTACTCACATCCACTAGGCCCTTATGGGAATTGATACCATGTACCACGCCATTCACGCCTTTGGGCTGGCTGAACTGATGAAGGGGGGTAAGGCTTTAGAAGTCGATGACGAGCACTACTGGAATCTGATTGATAACACGTATGTTGACGATGTGAGTTTCTTCTTCTTCCACCTAAGCATCGGCCTTTTGACATGTAAAAGGTCAATGAAGCTATGTTGGCAGGTCGGCAATCGGTTTACTATAATGATTTCTACTTGTCGGCTACATATCCACCGCCCACGAACTCATCGATATCGCTTTCGCCAGCACAACGTGCATCAATGGCGATCATGCATGTTTTCATCCAATGCCCTCAAATAGTATGCTTGATCAGACAAGCAATCCCCAACCCCAAAGATACAAGCGCAATTGCGGCTGCAGTCTCGCATATGGAGTCGCTAATACAAGTCGATCTCCCACAACATGTATCTGAGCTGATGCAAACAGCCATCACCGTCGTACCAATTCCCGCGTCTCCGGAGTTCGCCGATCTTATGCCAGACACTCTAGAGTTCGATACCGTGCAGAACATGATTCTTTGCACGAGATACTGGATGTTGCAGAACCTATTGTGTGGTCTTGCCGATACCCTATACCGACGTTTCCCTGCAGAAGCAGCTCTCTCATTGCTGCCCTCCCCAGAAAGACTCCGAGTCATCGACATTGACAGCGCACTTCATCTCGCTAAATCCCTTCGATGGGCCAATTCTGTCTCCCAAGACTTACCTTTCGTACAACTGCGCATGCATACGCCAATTCAGATCTCCATCGGGCCATGGCAACGAACCATCCGTAATCTCTCAGCCCAGCGCTCCAATTCTCCAAGCATACAACCCGACATCGATGCCGAGATATCCCGGGCTGAGCGCATGAAGACCTGGGCCATTGACCAATGTAACAAGATTCACTTGCAATGGGGCGTCTCCGCCCTTGAAGATAAACCCCTTCTCGAAGCCCTCGAAGCCATGTCAGGCGAAGCTATACCAGATTGGCTACCCGTCCGCGTGCGTTTTGAAGCCGAAGACGGCGAAATGGTCATGAAGCTAGACTACGAGAACAAAACGGGTAGCTACTCTGAACGCTACGATATCAATGAGCCGCCTAAACAACGCTCGCCGCATCCAAGTTTACCAGGTCAGGAGTGGCAGCGAGAGGCTCTGCATGTTCAGGAGCTCCCACTTCGAGGCGCAGCTGTGCAAGGGGATAGAGGCGCGACTGAGCAGGTACAGCAAGGTATCCAGTCACAGAATGAGTATCTGAAGTCGTACCCTCGACCTGCGGATTTCATCCACGGCACTGGAAGGAATCTCTGCTCGACGTCTGGATGGTGGCCTGAGACGCCTAGAACGTCTACTGTCCTTTTCGACCCCACACATGAAGCCTCCACATTCCCACGCATGTCCCCTGGATCTAGCGAAGAGACTACGGATGCAGATATGAGGACTGATCGTAATCCAAGTTTGGCGTCAACCTGGTGGCCGCAGTCCCCAGATGGGTCTACAAGTTTGTCGGACTCTGCTTGGAGGAGCTTTTCCACGCCGCCGGTGGATGGGAGGAGCGTGACGGTCACGTTTAATAATAAAAAGAAGAATGCGTGTTTTTCACCTGCGTGGACCAATGAGGGTTAGCGGATGTGGTACAGGCAGTTGCGACCACTTTGTGTATTCTAACTTTGAGTTCATGAAAATGTCATTATCATAATCATCTTGTCTAGTAGAGTCCCTTTCGCGCTCCGCTCTTTCCCCGCCCTTCACCCCATACGCAGCATATGCTTAGACTTTCACACCAACTTTGGACCATCTGCGCCTCCAGCTCCTTTGTTACAGCCAGTACTTCTTCTTCGCCACCTTTTTTAGCTACCGGAATGGGTTCGCCATTGACTTTTCGCTGCTGGTTCCATGCCTTGACTTGCTTTTGTGTGGCCTTCTTAAACACATGGATGCTGGTACGTTCGTTGAGATAGCTCGTAAAATCTTCGAGGACAATGGGGTCGTACATGAGAATCTTCTCATGCCACGTGGGTTTCATAGGATCTTTGGTAGGCGGTAGGGAGCGGATATGCGCTGTGATTTGTGCAAAGACATCGGGTTTGATATGGACCCACTCTAGCAGCTTGGTCGATATGCAGTGTACCGGCGTTAGGCTTGCGTCAGATAATGGGCCCTGTTTAGCTTTGATACCGGCACCCGCGGTGGTTTTGCTGGGCGATGTGGTAGGTGAGAGAGATATCAGTGGTAAAGACTCTGCATCGATGTGTTTATAGACCCGCGGTGGAGTGGGAGACAATGCTTCAAGGGCTTCGTCTTCTGAATCAAGAATCTCATCGATATCAATGAACCGACTTGGTTCACTGGGCGGAGTGGATGGCACTGCGTTCTTCTCCTTCGACTTCGCCCTACGTTTTGAAGACAATGGCTTCAATAGCGGATTCGAAGACGTAGAGACTTTAGAAACAGTAGACTGCGACTTTGACGGTCTACCACGTTTCTTGGGCGATCCATCACCTGTTCTCGATGTAGATGCAGGCGGCCTCGACTTCGTCGCGGGACTATACTGCAGCTGCGCCGAAGGTGGTAAGTCAAACTCGTCAATATCAACAAAAGTATGTTGAGATTCTGCGTTCTGGTTCGAGGGTGGTGGTTCTGATTCGAATGTATCGATATCTTTAAAATCCAATTTGTTTGTATTAAAGTCCTCTGTTCTCGAATCCTGCAGTCGAGATGGATTCGAGAGGTGGGGAGGAGGTGTTGGCATATCAGACGAGATGGTAATAGGTGGAGGAGGGTCATGGGGTATGTCATCGATATCAATGAATGACGATGGGCCGACAGGGTCGTTCCGGGTACCATCGGACTTGTTGTGAGTGACATCCATTAGCAGTGGGATTTCTTGCGTTCGGTCAGGCTCGAGAATATACACATCTTGCATGTGCTCTAACATGCCACCGTCATCATCCCGCGCGCTTGCAGCCCATAAGGCTTTCTGGCCCTTGCCCTTGGTGAGTCTGGACCATGCCGAAGGCGCGACAAAGGAACAATTATCGGCCCTTTCTGCATCTTGTTCTGACTCCTTGATCGCGAACTGGATTTGGCGGATCATTGTTGGGGATTCTTCCAATGCCAGTTGACTTGATGTCCCAAAAAGCACATCCTGTTGATCAAGTCGTAACATTGCCGCAGCAGGACTGAGCAGCTTCTCGGCGACAAGCTTGGGCTTAGCAGCAGATTTGGCCGATACTCTTTTAGGTTTCGATTTCGCCTTTGGTTCGCCTTTCTCAGCTGGCGCTTTTGGGCTATTACGCTTACGTGGTAATTTCTTCTGGGGTGAATTGGTACCCGATGTAACCATGTCATTCAATGGCACCGCGGTCGTTGATGTTCGAGGCTCAAAGAAATTTTCCAATGCATTGTTCGGGTCAGACTCTTCATCTATCTGACCGTACTGTCCTGTCACAAGGTCTGTGATGGTGCGCGGCTTTTTCTTGGGAGCTTTGCCTTTCTCAGGTGACGAATCGCGGGAGTTAGTCTGGTTGCCGGGTATCTCTACTAACTGA